GTATTGCCTGATGCATGGTTATGTTGTTTTTAACTAATTTTAAATTCATGTGTATTTCTCTAACCCCTCCTGTCTATCTTTTCCCTTTGCTCTGTTTCCACCCGATCTCTGGTTGTATGATCTCACTGTTTTTCTCTCTGGCAGTAGTCTTGGAAGATCTTTAAACTTTTTCGTTCGATATTTATCAATGTATTGCAAGCCAACTTATTCTCTGACAATCTCGTTGTGATGATCAAAGTTTTTCCTGAGGCATCTCATTTTTATTTTGGCGGCTCTTGTTTATTGCCTATGCTTGGGCTTTTTAAAACAGTGTTGGTATGAAGATGTTGTCAATTAGAGGGCGCTTTGTGTCTGTCTATCTTTCCGACTTTGGTGAACACTCTTCCCATGTATATGACCTACTCTGCTTGCTTGATTTTGCTTTTGTCGACTGTGATGTTTAGTTGACCTGATGTTTTGCTGATTTTCCTCGTCTCGGTTTTGCTTGTGCTGATTTTCATTTCTTGATCTCTGCAGCTTTTCTTTAGTTTGTTTATGTTCTTGGGTGTATTCTCGTTGTCATTAATAATCATGCTCAGATCTTAGGCTAAAGCACGCTCGTTGATTGTGTTGTCTTCTGGTTTAGCTTCTGTTGTTATTGCTCTTTCAATGTAAGTAAATGGTAAAACAGGATAGTTCATATCCTTGTCTTTCTCTTGATCTTATTTGGAACCTTTGTATTTTCCCACATGCTGTCCTCGCTGTTGTTAAGCTGTTTTCGTATAGTGTCCTGTTCAGTAGTTGTCCCCAGATTAAGTATCCTTTCAGCACCGTCCACAATAATATTTGTGTCTGTCTACGCTGTCGAAGGCGCACGTGTGAATACTTGCATACTATTTTTTTGTGGGTACTTATATATTAATACTTGTTTATATGAGCTTGAGTATTTTTAGTGAGTGTCAGTGTGGACATATGTTTGATTTTATGCGTATCAAATGCACGTTACCCCACTGAGAAAAAGTAACATATGTTTTGCTCTCAATGAAGAAGCTGTTTCTTTTCTATTGTACACACACAAACATGTCAAAGGGACGAACGCACGCATGTACACATAATATACACATATATAAATACAAACACACAAACACACATAGTAACAATAAGACAAATGCAGCACGTGAGAAAGAGAGAGAGAGAGAGAGAGAGAGAGAGAGAGAGAGAGAGAGAGAGAGAGACAGACAGACAGACAGACAGACAGACAGACAGAGACAGAGAGAGAGACAGAGAGAGAGACAGAGAGAGAGACAGAGAGACAGAGAGACTGACAGACAGAGAGACAGAGAAAGACACAGAGAGACGAACAGAGAGAGAGATAGAGAGAGAGAGAGAGATAGAGAGAGAGAGAGAGAAAGGGAGAGAGTTTAGATTTAGTAAGTGTTTTACAGCACTTGCAACACATTAAGGATAATGTAAGTGCCGAAAATTAGAAGTGTTACAAAAGAGTAACAAACACAAAAAGAAGGAGGAGAGAAAAGGGCGATAGACGTTTGATAGGAAAAAAGGAGCAAACCACACCAGAGCACCCGCCAACCACCAACTGAGAAAGAGAGAGAGAGAGAGAGAGAGAGAGAGAGAGAGAGAGAGAGAGAGGGAGAGACAGAGAGAGAGAGGGAGAGATAGATAGATAGAGATAGATAGATAGATAGATAGATAGAGAGAGAGAGAGTGAGAGAGAGAGAGAGAGAGAGAGAGAGAGAGAGAGAGACAGAGAGAAGGAATGAGAAAAAAGAAAGGCCAACATGAGGAATACAAGCAATAAAAGGAGGAAAACTGATTTTGAATACGACTGTGTGTGTGGGGAAAATGAGTCACATTACCTCTGATCCTAAAATGCAATGGATCCAGGCAAAGTAGCAGGAACTATCAATTCACTGATTATCTAACTGATTCCCTTGAGTTGAAAAGGGGAAAAAATGTAACATTTGTGGGCTAAGCAAGATCGTAGACAGTGGTTATCCCGCTGAACGCAAGATATGATATTAAATTTTGCATTAAAATACACATCACTATCTTGTGTCTTGCAGCCCTGGAGATATCGCCATTAAGCAAATTTTTAAGTTTAATTTGTTTTGTTTCTTAGGTAACGCAACTTTGCAAAACAGGAACAAGGCGGTATTCGCAGTAAAATCATACCAGAGAGAAATTAAATCTTCATTCCCCCCCCCTTCCACCCACCCCCCTTCTTTCCTCAACCTACACTTTCCTTCCTCCGTGAAACAAATGAGTTGTCGGATAAATGAAATCTCAGAGCTACTAAAGTTTCTGCCAAATAACATAATGCATTTGAAAGAGTTGCAGCAAAAACAAGACAGACCCATCAGCAATAGTTAATAAACTTCAGATTTAATGTCCACGATTTTCCCGCAATTTGAGCTTTAACGTGAATAAAAAAATTAATAACGGGCATATCGTAATAGATGCGCTAGACCTTTAACAATTTACGTTTAACTCTTAAGTGTAAGCAAAAATGTCAGTCACTAGGGTGAGGTTTTACCAAATAAATCAAGACACCTTGGACAATGATTAAATACGTTCCAGGTCTAGTGAAATGTTATTGAAAAATAGACGTTTTAGAAATTCAAATCGGAAAAAAGGAAATAATTTCCTAAAAAAAAATAATTAAGAACATACGGTAAAACATATCTCAAGAACATGACATATTTCTACATAATAATATAATTAGCATTCTATCAAGTGATAGAACATATTTTTTCAAGCAAAAGCAAACAAACAGAAGTAAGTTTAAAATCATTGTATAGATCAATAAACGTAAAGTTAGTACATTGATTTGGAAGATATAAAGGAAACTTACAAAACCATCGTTTAAAAAGGTTTGAGCTATTGGCAGTAGTGAATAGGACATTTATATCAGGATCGAAAATTGTAGATAACTACGTTTGTATATCATTGCAAGAAGTAATCACATAACAGCATTATTTACAAGCATGTGGCCCATGCACCCCCA